CCCTGCCAGCCCCTCTATTTTGTCTTAAAATTTATTTTATTTGTGGAGAAAAGAGGGTGTATATGATCAACAGGTACCCTCAGCAGAGTCCTACCACATCACAATCTTTCCCCCAGCCTCCTAGCCAGCCAAGATCATAATCAGGGCTAAGATGTTCAGATTGACCTGGGACCCAAAATCTGTCCCCCCATATGTTCCCAGCACCAGACAGTAGCACCCCATCATGTGTGCCATCACAGCTAGGACTATGTAGCATTTTGAAAATATTTTATGTTTCTTCTAACATCTATCGTTGCTGAAAAGTCAGCTGTCAGTATTACAATCCTGTAAGTATTCTGTCTTTAGTTTTCATGATACATCCTTGGTAGCTGATGTTTTTAATTTCATTCAGAGCCAGCTACGTGAGGCATTTTCAATTTTTTCCATGCTAGTTGACTTTTATTCATTCTGAGTACTCATGCAAATTAAGAAATACTCAATGTTATTAAATGTCAGTCATTTATATAAACTTTTTGTCTCTTTCCCATGCTCTCCATTTTCTCAATGTGGAACTCTTCCCTTTTTCGAAGTCTATTTTTCTCAAAAAAGAGAGACAGACTGAGGTAGATAAAGAGGCAGAAAGACAATACCCTAACAGGGTCTTTACAGTGCAATCCACACCCCAGTCTCAGCCAGCTCGGAATCACAGGTACATGTGTTCCCAGCATACTCAGAGCATGGTGTTTTACCACTGTACCACCATCTGGCCCCTCAATCTGGAACTCTTTCCATGTATACACTTGAGTCTTTCATTCTGTCTTTCACATTTTCTAGTACTTTCAGGAAAACCAAAATTTCCTCAGTATTTTTCAAATATAGGTTTTTTTTCCTTCTATAACAAATCCATTATTTAAAAAGCTGTTTGAGTCATTTCAATAATTATATTTTTATTTCTAGACTTTTATTTTTCATATCTTTTCCACATTTCAAAACAGTCTGTTTTCATTGTAAAAATTCCATTCCATTTTTTCTTATTTTGGGGCATTAAAAAAATCCCCCCAGCAGGTGATTTCTCGCTTTCTGTCTCTCTGTCTTTCTGGTGAGCACCTGCACCCTATAGCAAAGACCCCTCAACAATTATTTTTAAATTAATTTTATTTTTAGATTTTTGCCATAGGGCATATACACCTGCCTGAGAGAGACAGAGAGAACTAAAGAGAAGGTAAGTGAGAAGTCATTCCCCAGGGAAGATGGCCATGCTGCAATCCCTTCACCTCCACGCTCCTCTTGGGATTTTGGAATGCAAATGTACTTAGTGTGATTTTTCAAGCTGCCAGATCTGGGACTTGAACCACAGTCAACCATGTGGGTGTCCAGTGCCTTAACCACTACACCATCTGCTGGCCCTCCAAAATGTTTATTTTAATGTCCTTTTCTGATTGTCTTCTTATCTCTAATTTCCTCAGGCTTACATTCTCTTTTAATTGTTTAGCATCTGCAAACATTACTCATGAAAAGAGATTTTATATGCATTGTAATTTTAGTGTGTGAGCTTATTTTTCTCAGGGGTTCCACATGAGCCTTAGGTTGTGATATTGACATTACACAATTTTGTTTGGGTTCTCTGAGGTTTACTGCTAAATGCTGTAACCAAGGTTAATTTTAAAAGATCTATGCACAAGTTTTCACTGTAGCATTTTTAGAGATTTATCTTTTTATCTTTCTCTTTACTTTCATATAAGAAGATAAGAATTCAGATAAGTTTATGGAGAATCACACCCTTCATTGATAGGGTCACCAGCTTTACATGGGATTTATATAAAAATTCTGTGCTACTAGACAAAGCCACCTGCCCATAGATTATGAAATCTAATTTGTAATTTGCATTGAATTAAATATACATGATACCTATTCTTAATGGCATTTAAACAAATGATGCATACTGAACCTAATTCTCTTAATTATATCTAAAGCTTTTGAAAACTCTTAGAATAATGTGTTTCTTCTCCAGAGTTCTTACATACAAGAAGTAGCAGAAATTTTGATCCATAGAGCCCATATAAATGCTACAAGTATTTTACAATTACCTTATTCCATCCTCAGAAACATTGTTATCCCTACTGTACAGAGGAGGAAAATGATGCTAAGAGAGGTTTACCAATGATTATATAGTTAGCAGAGAAAATCACCAAGATTCATATTTAGGACAGCTCATCCCCAGCATTGTTCTTTTTACTAGATCTCACTGCTATTATAATACATTCCACAGGGGAAAAAAAATCCTTATGTTCAGTTTACCATCACTCTTTGGGCTTTATAGAGCAGCCTCGCCTTTCTAGGCAAACCAACAGGAAATATATTAAAAATGGTTTATATTCCTACCTTGGGCAGGAGTTTCCCCACTGTGAAAATCTGAAGAAAATTTTACCTTTCTCCCACTCTGTTGTCCCTTTTTTACTGTCTCCAGGTTCATCTTGAAGAGCACCCTTTGCAGATACCCTCTACTTTGTTTCAGTCTGCACTCCTGTCTGGCTGAGGGCTGCCTCATGCTTGCCTCAAAGTCTTAGGTCTTTTCTGAGCTTTACTACTTGCTATACATAGTTCTTATATAGACACAGTCCCCTAAGTGCATTACTTTTATACTGCTTACTTGATTTATGACTCTTTATCTCTCAAATAAGAAAAATTAACTTCTTATTTTAAACTCAGCTCTCACATGCTAAGCACTTTACAGCACTGTCTACTATTTTGAATACTACTGTTAAGGCATCAAAGACTAATGGCAAATCTAGAGTTTATATTGAGAGAGAAGAGAAAGGGCCAACTAGGAATAGAGATAAAACAACAAAGGCAAATGCAGAAGCTATGACAACAGTGGTTGTATTAAGACCAGTGTAGGATTATTTCAAATATAGCTACTCATTAAAATGTTGATTTGTGGCTATCTCAAATGACTCTATTGTGAAAGAATTGGGAAAAATGACTCTAATAAGTGGCCAATCAATTTTACATTAGTGATCAGTGACATATAGAGATACATCTTAGCTATGTCTAAGTATGTACATATATATATATCAATCCATGTATTTATCCACTAATAATCTATTATCTTCATTTCTAATTAAAATTCAAAGTCAAATATAATTGTAATATTAGATAGCTATTCTTCATATATATTGTGATTGCTTCCACTATCACAGTAATGAAAAGTTAACATCAAAATGCTCCTCCCTACCTGTACCTTCTGAATTTTGGATAGCACATATATAAAAACCAAGAAAATTGGTTCATGAGGAAAATATATATTATTATTTTAATTTATTTATTACATTTTTATATTAATTTACATGTCCTTTCATTATTTCTTCAATAATTATTATATTATTGTACTAATATTTCTTAAGACACTATGAATGTAGATACAAAATGGGATTTTAAGTGGATAATTTATAGAGATTTTAATTCCTGTGTCTTTTTAACTATAAAGTATTACTAACTCAACTAGATTGTAACAAATTGTAATCCTGCATATTGTGTGTGTCAGAACATGGGGAAAACTGGAATGGAAAAAATGAGTTAGTAGATAATTCAAAGCAAAGGACTTCCCCTTGAATGATCTATTAAATCAAGGTAAAACTATTTTATAAGAATTTTCTTCTGGTTGCTTTAATCTTTTACTTCATTTTGCACCTGCAGACACATACGCTTTTCTGTTAGTGTAAGCTTGAATGATTTGTGACATACTATGTTTATAACATCTAATATGAAGGATAATAGGCTAAAACATTCAATCAGCTGGAATTAGACTTCAAATGTAATACAGTTTCAGTATTTCTTATATTACATCTTCCAGTTGCTCAGAATATGCAGCTACTATTAAATTTAGGGAATTATATTTTATAGAAAATAGTGTACTCATGAATTTTCTTAAAGTGTAAAAATAAGTCACAAGAATATGCAGCATAGTCTCCCTTATATGTTTATGAAATAATCTTAATTGTCTTAGATGTACTTAAAAATATGCACCTCATTAAATGGAATTGATAATAACACAAAGGAAATTCCCAAGAAATCTTGTCTGCATGCAATCATCATTTACATACAGCAAAATGGTTGAATATCTGTTTGTCTCATGTAATTCAACATAATTATAAAGGCTTGTTTTCCAGACTTTGACACTCTGGTTTTGTGAGGAGTTCTTTTCTGGATAATTACAGGCAGTGACCATTCTGCTTCACTTTAAAAAAACTTGGAATAGGAACAAAAAAATGCATTTGCTAGAAAATCTCTGTGGTTTGTGCCCTATTACAAATAAAGAACCGAGAAGACCAAGCTTACAATTTTGAATTGTCTTTTTAAAGAAAAAATGGCAAACGTTCCATTCAGTTGTTTGAAAGAAGAACAGTTATTCTTCTTCACTTTGGCTTGTAACATTTCAAGAATGACATTATTTGATATTGTTCAATCTACTGTCAATTACCAACCATCTTCCTAGGCATCCAGTTCTTCTAATAAGCACTGTAATTCATTAAGTAAAGCCTGCTATGAGAACTAAGTTATTATTCTTTAAGTCAATGAGATAAAACCTTATGCAGGTTGATATAAGATGTTTCACAAAATATTTATAATTTACCATATATACATTAAGAAAGTAAAATTAGCATGGGATGATCTCAGGAAAGCAATACATACTTTTGGATTAGACACTGAAGTAAAGTAAATGTATGATCAATTGACAAATTCACATTGCCAATGTTATGAAAAAATGATGCAGCAAAAAAAATTAAGATGTATTTTTTTCATTTTTGATAAGGGGACTTTTTCCTATGAGTTAATTGATTTATGCCTTTCATCTGAGAAATTACTAGTCTTACAGAAGCCCAAAGTGAGGGAAACTACTCACTTTCATAATGCATGTTAGGAGTTTGAAATTGCACCCAGCTATTTAGTTTCTTTTGTTAGTAGGCCTCTGTTAATAGAGTAGCAGGTGCATACGCGTGGGTTTGCCAGTAACAACTCACAATTTGTGCAAAGTTGAGTCTTCGAAACTGAGCAAATTTGCTCTCAATTTCCCGCCAGCGCTTGCTGAGCTGGATCTGAATTGGCTCCACTGCCATTGCGGCCCCATCCTCAGACAAGCCCTCAGCTTGCCTACGCACTGCATTCAGCTCGTCTTTCTTCTTCTGCAATTCACGATCAATTTCCTATTGAGCAAAACCAATACAGGGCCCAGGGCAGTTAGCTAACCACAACAACCAACCTGCAAGCAGCAAATACTTCCCTCAGAAATTCATAGGCTGGTGTCCCTTTATTGTCACCTTTCAAAATCTGCAAATATGGAAGGTGTCACGGTCATCCTCCCCAATAATTCAAATATTATTTCAGTTAGCCTTTGAATGCTCAGTTTTAGGTATTCTAATTAAGAAGATATTTAAATTGATCTAACATTTTCTTTCTTCTGAATTACTTTGGTATTTTGGAAGTTGACCCAAAATGGAGCGATTACACATTATTTACTAGGGACCATCCTTATAGAATATAGTTTAGAGAATAAGTGAATAAGGTATCTATCTTTTTTTTTTTTAAGTTTTGAGGAACTCAACAGAGAATGAAGCAAAATAAAAAGTGTAAAATAATAACAAAAAAAATCTTCAGACAATATGCAAATAAATCTATAGAGATTTGACACTGATGTGTGAAGATGCTCTGATGAAATGAATGTGCTAACATGAGAAAGAAGTCGTCCATAAACCGATAAGTCATTAGTTCATCTGGAACAAAGATACACAAAGTCAATTACAATTTTACCAAAAAACACATGACATTTCTTATTCCATTTTACATTGTCTAAAAGTAAAACATTTTATTCATTCAACATTATGTCCATTGAATAACAGTACAATACATTTACTAAAACAAAACACAATACAAGGAAATGCATCAAATTAAAGAGAACACTAATAGGAGAAACAAGAACATCAACATTTTAAATATGACCCTCACGGATTAAGTTCAAGTAATTAAACTGTAGCAATAAAAGCTAGTATTGACATTCTAAAACAACATTACCTTTATTTTCCTTTCATCTCTGGGTTCAGGTAGGCTGGCTAATTTTTTTTCAATGTCATCCAAGCATTTCAGGAGATCATCAGCCTGCCTCTTGTACTGATACCACTGATGAGAAATTTCTAGAGCCTTTTTTCTTCTTTGAGACCTCAAATCCTGTTCATGGTGCAGATATTATTAAAATATCAATATATACATAGAGTACACCTTTGACTATAGTTATTTACAAAACAATATGAGTTCCTCATCTTTTTGGACAAGTAAGGTTTAATTCACACTTAAATGCAAAGCATACAGATACATGACGAAATTATGTATTTATGTGGCAGGATCCATGTACAAGCAGCTAAGACACTTGCGCAACAAATGGGAAAGGATTTTCTCTTGTATGTTCAAACTGGTTTCAAACATTTACTTGACTTCTAATGAGCTAATTGTGCAGTCTTTGGAAATAGTTTGGTATATAAACACAATGGACTTAACTAAATAGTTGTAAAGTTTTACTTAGTGAGCTTGAATTTTACTTTTAAAGTAAGTAAAAGTCTAAGATTATTATCTTCAGCCCTGGGATCCATCAACAAAATTTTAACATTAAATAGCCAAGCAGTATACATTCATGGTTTTAGAAATGCCTGTAAAAATGTTTCATAGGCCACTATTATTCTGTGATGAGAAATACCAAATCATTTTAGTTAAATCATAAATTGTTCTAAGCTGTATGTGTTGAAATGTGACTATTATTTATGAAGCTGAGAGTATACGTGAAAATGACTATCTTAATGTTAGAAAAATGTTTTTCCTTTTAAGACTTACATGGACAACCTTTAACTGTAGCAAATCATCTTCAAAACACAAATATGATAAACTATTGTGAAAAGAGAAAGTGCATGCTTTCTAATCAAGCTGATGAGATAAATAAGGGTAGCTGTTTTAATAAATCAACCAAAGGAAGAAAGAATCAATCATTTTATTCCTTGCAATATCATTCAACCAAAGGGGGAAAGAATCAATCATTTTATTCCTTGCAATATCTTCTGTGATCAATGGAATTTGTCAAAATGTCTTTCTGTAAATCATGAGAATAATAAGAGCTCTGTATACAGCTTTCATTTCTTCAGAGAGGTAGCAATAGTTTTATGTTCAGGTTTAACTCCAGCTCAAGCAAATGATATCAAAGAACTGCTGAAAAATTCATCGCATTGGAAATTCTGACCTTTGCAAATCCTAAGGACTAGAATTGGAACCACTGAATTTGGTGGCGCAGATTGCTTTGGCAAGTAGATTTGATGATTTTCATTAATCGCTTGTAGTATGTATTTGCAAGAATGTTCTAAATGTCATCAGTTATTTTGTTTAAAACGGGGGATGTAAAATTTCCTGCAGTGTACATTTTATATTGAATTTCCAAACCTCCTGCGGAGGTAATAAATGCCTGAGATGAGTCAGACAGAAGGTGACTTTTTTCTAAGATATCAAGACACAGCCATGTGAACAGGGGTTGAGCCATGCACTATTCGTGACACAGCTTGCATCTTTGCCAAGAAAATGGGCTTGGTGGTCATAAATCTGAAACTTCTTTTATTTCCTAAGCGCAAGGTGATGTGTAGTATGTAAAAAGAATGAGAGACAGCATATAGATTTCTTTAGAGTTATGCCAGATAACCATTAAACACTGCTGTTCAGTAGGGCACATATCATCATATGACCAGTGTAGATGCTTCTGAAAGCTTAGTCACAGTTGGAAGGGTGTGAATTACACAGCTTTCTGATTTTCTGAGCACATTGTGGTTTGCTTCTGTACTCCCTTGAGGAAGGGGCCTTTTGTATTTACTATATTTATCAGCAGTTACCTTCGGAACACCTGCTGGCCAATTAGACTTTCCTTGTGGATTCCTTGCAGGCACAATATTGTGTAATTACATTCACAGCAGTGTTTATTTGGTTGACTACAGGGGAAAAGGTTTTATCCTCTTATTTGCATATAGAAAGCAGACTCCATCCACCTACTAGGTAGATACCCCCACATAGCTACATAGCTCAAAAGAGTGATTTACAATGAAAGCTCCACAATTAACAGTATTAGAAAATCAGACATGCATGTAAATAGTGAATATTGCAAAGCATATACAAAAAAGTTATTTCACAAGACTTTTCACATGTCCAGGCTCCTCTCAAGAACTTTCTAGAGATTATTATAGAAAAAACAATAGTTTATTGTTTCTCCTGCACAATTCAGATGAGTCATGTGGGTACTTGAAACCATATACTACCAGTCCTTAATATGAAAGTATTAATCTTCGTCATTGGTATTAATATTATTTTGGACAAATCCATATGAATGAAATTAGATTCTTGTAGATGCTTAATTAGTTGAAAAGAATGACTCTCTTAAAGGCACAGTAAAGTTCATTTTTCAAAAATCAGGAGAATTCAGATCTTATTAAACAGGTATTAGGTTACCTGAAAATTGGGCCTACTAGAAATAACACCAGTAAAGTAAACGGGAATAATGGGAAAATATAAATTAGTTATTCTGGCAGTTAGGCCGATTTTTCAACACATATATAAAAGTAGTTTAGAAAAATAAAGTATATATGAAAATGAAATGTAAAAATACTATGACTGATGCATTTTGATAACTTCTGGTGACTGCTCAGAAAAAGTCCTATGAACCGAAAACATAATTTTTAAGCAATGCATTTTTCAAAATCAGACACCACTGAAAATGCTAAAGCACATACATTGAACATAAAAAAAGTGTGAATTTCTGGTGGCTAAAGTTCTTAAGCAGATTTTTATTTATGAGCAATATATATTTACCCTACATACAAAAATAAACACAGGCAAGGTATATTATAATTTTAGCTCTAATACCTTGAGAGCATTATGTTTTGTCTGTAACAGGTGCTGTTTTATCTTTATTTCCTCTCGCTTTCTCTCATCTGTGATTCTTTGTTGTAAGTTGTCTCCTCTTTGTAACAATTCTTTTACAGTACCCTCATTGTCTTCACTCTGATTAAAAACAACAAGTACAGTCTTCATTTTGGTTTTTAAAAAAGCTGTACATTGTTAACAGAGATAATAAAACATGTTATTTAAACACACGCAAAAAATCCAATTTAAAACTTTCAGGGAATGTTATTATAAGATACTGTGCTCAGAGCTCTTTTGCATTTTGTCCTTTACATTTTAAAGGAATTAAGTTTCCTCCCATCTAGTTCTGAAGAACACTTTTTCTTTGTAAGGGGCATATGTAAGAAGGAAGAATGGGGGAATAAATTACATTCTCATTTTCTTATTTCAGACAAGTTGTAAACTGCCGTAAAAGTTTTTCTTTGGTTTTGATTTTTAGTATAGTTCTAGAATTTAAAAGTTTGGTGAAGTAAAGTAATCTTGTCTTTTATAATGTTAATTGGTCCATATAGGAATATGGATATGCATATGTGAGTGTGAAGTGGCAACAAATCTTAAAATATTAATACACTACTAAGTGAAAATGTTTCATTTTAAATGTACATTAATTTCTATCAAATAATCTTTGCTTTCTATTTGAAATCTAATTTAGGATAAATATTGGTATCTTAGTAAATTATGTATCATGTTGCAGTCAACTATTGCAAATTATGAATTTCTAAAAGTAGGTCATATATGAAAGTTCATTTTAAACAAATCAGAACAGATAGGTATTTAAGAATGGACTGGAAAAAGGAATTTAAAGGTATTCAGTGTGATTTTTTTGTGAGACACCAAGAAAAATATTTTAATGCAATTACTTAGAAATAAAAAGAGTGGAATAAGTGCTAGTCTGAACTACTGTCTACCTGTCTTTCAATTCAGAATCTAAAAGCTTTTTGTCCAGGAGGCTTACCATATAATGGTACTCAAGATACTCTATGAACTAGGGGTAACAGATAAGAGACAATTTTTAAAAGTCAGGACCAGCAGTTGGTGTAATGGCTATGTCACTGGACTGCCATGTAGTCAATCATGGATTGAGTCCTGGACCCAGCGGCTTAAACGCACACTGGGCACGTGTGCGTGCGTGCCCAAGATACCAAGAGGAGAATGGAGCAGAAGGGATTGTGGTGTGGCCATCCCCCCGGGGGGTGATTTCTCTCACTCTCTGTCTCCCTGTCTCTCTCTGTTTTTCTGGCGAGTGCACACACCCTATAGCAAAAACCTCTCAAAAAAAATCATTTGTGTGCATGTGTGTATCCATGGAATTATGTGCTATCAACCTAAATCTGTAGTGCATGTTTAAACTGCACACAACTTCAGAACTATTCATTTTCTTTAGAGGGAATTGGATTGTTTTTATCTGAGATGTGTCAATTAATAGTCTAATGGAAGTTATAGCATAACACAGAGTGGCTTATTTCAACATGTCTTTTAAAAGTCTGCAGTGTTTTGCTAGGGCTGAGGACAAGAACAGAGAAAGAAAACCCACTTCATCCCCTGACCCTGGCCCCTGACACACCAAATGAGGGCTATAGGGCAGGGTTGGTGGTCAGCCCCAGAGATAAGAAAGCAGCACTGTTTTTCACCTTGGTGCCCCCTCTGGGTTCTTCTTTGACATGAAGTAGAGGTAGTTGGGACTCAGCATCTTGGAAAGCCTCTTCTTGTCTTTCTTTCCATGAGCTGAGTTGGCAAGGCCACCATACCCCATACATGGGGAATACTGACTGAGGCAACTCCAGAAAAATCACAATAGATACCAGTGCAAACTAAGATTGGTGGAAATAGTTCTCTTATGATTTTGCATGCCTATTATCTACAACTGATATATAGCCTTCTGATGTCATTTTCAAGCACTGTCTGAGAAGTCTCTGGCATTGATACATAGCTGAGACACCTCTAGCATGGTACAGGTAAAGATTAAAAATGACACACGTGATGGCAGTGGAAGAGAAGAAAAGAAATTGTGAAAAGGGTGGTGAAGGGGGAAAAAAGTCAGTGATTAGGGATATGCAGAAATATTCAAGCCAGAGAGAAATTGAAAAAAAAAGAATTTGAAATTTATTGGGATTGAAGAATGTTCTGAGATCGGGAACCAACAGCTCATATGTTCATATTTTGTAAGCAGCATGAGTTTATGCACATTTTAGACATATACTGTAATATTTACTCAACTCTTTGGTAAGACCACTTTTTGTGGGAAATGTTAATCATCAATGTTTACACTGTATGTTGTAGCCCGTCTCTGGAATAGACATTATACTGTCAAAAACATTACTGACACCAAATGTCAGCCATGATAGCTGAGTTTCTTATTAAATTGATGATTTATTTTCTGATCTGACTCTTTTTTTCCTGATTACATGTTAACCTCTGAGTTTGAAAATAGCACAGGTCAAAACAAAATGCTGAGCTATTTATTAGGATCTGTAAGTGCTGCTGTATGACCACACCAGAGTAAATTGCATTTGTAATAAAAGGTCAACAAGAATACTTAGCATTTATAAAGATCATTATAATCACTAAACGTTCTGAGAATTCAGTTGGAGACTTGAGTTATCTAATTTCTTTCCAAATATTTATTCATTTTCACTCCTAGTTCATTCACACTTTTATCACAACCAATTTACCATATCTTTATTGAAGTCTTCCTCTTTCAGATTCACCCCCTGCTGAATTTCAGCCTCCAGTGGTTCAAGCAATTTTTGTATATCTGAGTTAAACTGCTCCAATTCCTTCAAAGGAATGGAGGCCTAAAAAAAAAGATAGTGCTAATTTAAATCAAAATTACTTTTTATTAGAAACATAAACCAAAAGAAATACATTTGTTCAACCTCCTGTTGCTAAACTAATGACATGCATTATTTTTCTATATTATAGTTGATGAAGGTTTTGAAATACAACTGGAAAAGTACCTGAGATTGCAAATAAGGAAAAACATTTAACATTACAAGAGCTGATCACACATGCAAGATAATGCAATTCATCATTCTGCCGTGTCAACAACAGTTGATTTACATATATTTGACTGGGCTAATTTTTAATATTCTAAAGTTGGATTTGATCTAATTTTTAATATTGTGATTTAAATATCATTTAGGTAAATATGTCTTATCCAAAATTGTCTCATTCATCAAATAACAGTAGCCTCAGGTAGAGATGCAGAATTGTTACCTTATTTTTAGAAATACTATATGGCAATCTACTTAGAGATCTTAAATGATATTTTTAACATGGTAAAAGTGACAGGTATGCTCTCCTAAGACAAACAGTGCCATTAGTTGTCTTAGGAATGACTTCTGTGGTGGCGCAAATAAATTTAAATGAACAAACCCAGAATATTGCACATAAAGAATTTGAACATGGTTTCCAACCTTACAAACATCACTGTTTAATTTTGTCCCTGGTAATGACGGCAATCTCAAGAAACTGTAAAATCCCTAGATTTTCTAAGCAAAACACTTTGAAAGGTGTGATGAATGTAAAAACATTGGCAATCAAATACATATTCAAAAAGTATTCAGGATTTAATTATTAAAGTTTTGCTAATAAAATACACTTTTACATGCTAGATATTTATCTTCTATTTCATTCTTGTCATTAAAATACTAGAAGCTATTTTATCTCCAACAGATTTTTGAAAACCCATAGATGATATAGAGAAATTGGATTTTTTTTTTTTCTTCAGAGCTAAAAGTTTCCAATTTGTAAAAACCAATCCCAGGTACAACCTTCAGTGTCTTATACAAGGATGATTGCATTCTTTAAGATTAATTTCCACCTACATTTCCCCAATCACATTCCCAACCACAGGTTTACTCTAGCTTTATTAAAAGATGGTAACGTCTGGAAAACAATTAGGATAAGCATTCAAGAACAAACTAAATATCTAAAAGTAGTCTGTGACATATGAAGAAGTGACTCCTCAAATGCTATACATGAGAACATGACTCTCACATTTAACGTGAATAAACACATATCTTCCAGGCACTTGTACACATCGCAGAAAAACGTATCGAATCTTTTAAAAATAATTTAATATTAGTTTTTAAATCCTAATGACCATTTATCATTGAAATATTATAATAGCCTTTTGAACCAGTGAGATTGGTAATACTTTAATATGCTTAAAGGGTATTTCAATCTCTTATTATCAGTGTGCTTCTGTACTTAAAAACCATGCATTGTTTAAAGGATTATAAAGGTAAAAAGATTCACACGCTTTAGAATTATAGGTATACAACATCTGATGGTAATTGATATTATTCAACTATTGCCCACATTTGCTAATGTTTAATAAGAACAACTGTACTGTGTTACACAATTTTGTGAATTTTTGATAATATTTAAAATAACTTTTATTGACTATCTGGATGTCCAAATAGCATGGCTCTACTTGCAGTGAGATTTAATTGTTTCACTCCACCTGCTTCTTCTCTGGTTCATCTTCTCTTCACATAAACAGAGTAGTTCCTAAGGCTCAGAGCCTGGTCCTGTGCACCTCTTTCTCAAAGTTTCTTCCATAATCAATTGTATTGCCTTTTATAAAGTTATCTATAATTTCCATATCTTCTAAATTTTTATATTTAGCTGTGAACTCACTTTTGAATTCCACTCTAGACTCTTCACATAGGCACCTGTTTTCTCATTTGAAGTTCAACATGTCTAGGAGTTCGTTATCTTTACCTCAAATTGTTGCTCCGCTAACTTCCCTAGTTCTGTTAATACAAGATAATTTTTCCTCAGTCATCCAGGCTTAAAACTTAGAGCGTGTTATTCTTGAACACTTCACTTTAATGTCTGATAAATAAGTGCAATTTCACTCTCTATAATCCACTTGTTTCCTATTTCCACACTCCATCTTTCTGAGTTTTTACATGCACAGTCTCCTTTCTCCATACTAGTTCCAATCAGTGCAAAGTGATCAGATCAAGATGTCCCCCAAACATTACTTCCATTATGCTATTTTTTTGCCCCCAAATCATATGCATCTACCGAGTACACATAGAACAAAGCCCAGATATATAACAGAGCAATAGTCAAAGCTTGCTCTAATCTTGATCCATGGACATTTCCAGCCTTACTTTTATTTATTTATTTGATTTTCAAAATTGGCTTTTATTTTTATTCTCATTTTTAAATTTTTTATGTGCAAATATACATCTTTCTGGCAGGTCATTTGGTAATCTGCTATTCCTCCCTCCAGGCCTTTAGAAGGCTTTGTATCTCCTTGTGATGAGCATAAGCCACTGAACGAGAATGTATGGATTGCAAATGGGCTCTACTCTTGACTAGCTGAAGGATTTGGGGCAAGTTATTTATCTTTTTAGAGCCCCAATTTTTTTTTTTTTATCAGTAACATGCAGATAAGTAGAATGTCTACCCCACATGGCTGTTAGGATCAAACATGTTAGAATGGTATCTGGTATGTAAAATTACTCAATAAATTTTAGCTACGACTATTTTCTCTCAAAACCCTATGCATACACGAGACATAAATTCTCAATAAATCTTGGCTCTTATTGTTTCTTGTCAAAATCACTCCATTCGTTAGTTTAAATCAAGACTTTCCTCTGTTGAAAACATTGTTTTTTTAAGGTTAAATGAAATTCTTGTTGATAGGAGAATGTTTCATATTACCAAAGGACTTCCTAAAGCCATGAAATTCTAACAGTGAACATTGAGAAACTTAGACTCCAATCTTAGAAAGTTGTATCATTCTGAATAGCAAAATTATTGATTAGTTACTGGCAATAATAGAGTAAGTGGGCTTCAGGAGGACCCTAAATGGCTTTGCATTTGCTTTAGACTGTGTAACATTTTTATCATGGATTATTCGGAGACACAAAAAGCATGCAAAAATAACCCCAAAATCGGTGGGATGAGTTCCATGAACACCCTATGAAAATGAGGACTTTGTCTGTCTTATTCAACCTAGAATCATTCCTTGTACATAGCAGGCACTCATAAGTACCTATTTCCTGAAAAAAAAAAAAAGTAAACGAGTGAATAACTAATAAGAGAATAGCATGGGCTTGGAATTTTAAATAACATAGTTTATAGAGAAAATTCAGGAGACCTGATTGGTCAGCACATTAATGCTGGCCAAATATTAGCAACAATGTGATACCGCCAAGTACAAACAAATAAACGGACACAAGCAGATGTGAAAGGACTTTAGGAAATACTACTACAGAATTACTCAGGCAAGACAATGGAAACTTTGGCTTCATTAGGTTTCTCAAAGTCTACTCCATGTTTAGTAAAAAGAAAGGCCTTTCTCAGCTTAAGGATTTAAATTACTCTGTGTGGTTACGAAGTCAATAGCTAGAATCAATGGGAAGAAATTTGAAGGCTGAATTTTAGGTGAATAAGAGAATGACTGATTGGAGCTGCAATCTTTTTAAAACACTAATTTTAAAGTAGTGGATTTCTCTTAGCTTAAAGTATGCAAACAGAGGCTACAGGATGATGTATTAGGTGATATTTTAGAAATGATACTCTGGTGCATGAGTACTTTCCAGAAGTTTTATCACCTTCCAGTAAATACTCTCTCCTAAACTTAAATCCTTGATAGTAGTGCAGCTACAAGTCATTTATGTAATTTTAAAAGTTATGGTTACCATAATTGTAAAGTAAAAAAAAAAGAGTTAACTTAATTGAAATAATTTATTTTATCAATAGATCCAGGATATCATATATATATTTATCATAAGTATAAAATTAAATTTGGGATAATTTGTATTCACTTTTCATACTGTTTTCCAAATCCATGTGCATTTTACATTTACATCACATCTTAATCTGGAGTAGCCACATCTCAAATACTCAGTGGCTGCATGTGGTTCATGGCCACCTTTTTGGACAGTATAAAGGTAGTATAACCATGACATTGAAAAGAATCAGTAACTCATTGTTAATTTGCAATCTGTTATTGGAGTAATGTCTTATCAGTAATATATACAAGTTTTACTTTATTCATTTTTAGTGGATTTAGATTATTCTTGTAATGTTTGTCTAATCAATCCACTTGCATTTTGTTTTAATTTTAAAGTAGTGGATTTCTCTTAGCTTAAAGTATGCAAACAGAGGCTACAGGATGATGTATTAGGTGATATTTTAGAAATGATACTCTGGTGCATGAGTACTTTCCAGAAGTTTTATCACCTTCCAGTAAATACTCTCTCCTAAACTTAAATCCTTGATAGTAGTGCAGCTACAAGTCATTTATGTAATTTTAAAAGTTATGGTTACCATAATTGTAAAGTAAAAAAAAAAGAGTTAACTTAATTGAAATAATATATTTTATTTTATCAATAGATCCAGGATATCATATATATATTTATCATAAGTATAAAATTACTAATGGTATAATTTGTGTTCACTTTTCATACTGTTTTCCAAATCCATGTGCATTTTACATTTACATCACATCTTAATCTGGAGTAGCCACATCTCAAATACTCAGTGGCTGCATGTGGTTCATGGCCACCTTTTTGGACAGTATAAAGGTAGTATAACCATGACATTGAAAAGAATCAGTAACTCATTGTTAATTTGCAATCTGTTATTGGAGTAATGTCTTATCAGTAATATATACAAGTTTTACTTTATTCATTTTTAGTGGATTTAGATTATTCTTGTAATGTTTGTCTAATCAATCCACTTGCATTTTGTTTTCTGAGAGGAATTTTTCAGGTAGTCCTGTAGGTATAGGAAGAATTATGAGTGGGCTTGACGACCCTTTATATCA